GTTCAGTTTCACAAGCCCCGACATGGGATACAATCTCTCACACGGTGTTCTGAACTTTAACATTAAAAATGAGGAGGTTAAAATACAGGTCTGGCCAACACCCAAGAAGCAGAAAAAAACGAACTATTTTTGAATCACCCCAACCTTATACTATAATGCTGATTAGCTACAAGCTTCACTTGTGACATAATTACTTAACCCGCTCAGGCAGCCAGCTCCCCAGGTGTAGTATTCAAGCAAAATTACGCAACCCAAGCCTTCTTGTTTCAATTCAAGTCTAAATGCATCTGATATACTAACAAACGTATAAATGCATACACCCATACACATAACAGTTGTAGCAGGATCACTCGGCGTACATGGGGTTTTATGCGTCCAACGTTAGATTTTATACCATGAGCCGGGACGCATAAAACCCCATGTTCCCCAAGTGATCCTGATACAACAAATTTATCTTACCGACATGTTTTAATATGACATTGTAAAATAATTCAAACAAATTCAAAGTTGCTAGAAGAAAAAAGCTGTTCGATTGAGCTGAGGTTAGCTTGCGCTATGTCACGTGACTTACATTGACTCCGAAAAATGTACGGCTTTTTGCTTTGAAGTGGGGAATAAAGGATTTATTGTGCCTCTCAGAAATCCACATGCAGCCTGACTTGCTTGTGGGTATAAGAGATTTATTCCCCCGCTGAGAAATTTATTCCCCTCCATGGCGGGATATACAATACACAAGATCACATGGACCATGTGGACCAATCAGATCAATTTGACATGGAGGAATGATAAATGTACATTGATTCATTGATTCCATGTCAGAGTGACCACCTCCGTGGTCCAGTGGGAGAGCTTCCGACCGAAGATCCCCGGCCGCGTCATACCAAAAGATGTTAAAAGATGGTACATGTTGTTACCCTGTCTGGCGCTTGGCATTAAGGGGTTAAAACTTGTCGGCTCGGAGTCAGTATACTGTGTCTGAGTGGGGTATTCATGTTAAACTGCGGCATGGTATCTCAGTGGGCTAGCATTATAAAACGGCATCAGTCCGGACTAGTACAAGCAGCCACACACACACACACGTACATGCACGTCGCTATATTAGTGCAATAATATTGGACGCGACGTTAAACCCAATTTCACCTCACCTCCATGTCAGAGTATAGAATTTGTGCCATCATGAAATCTTGTCAGCAATGTATAATCACTGAATGAAAGCTGTTATGTTTTATGTCAGTTTAACTGGTTGTTTGAGTGTCAACAGAATTATGTAAATGAGATCTAAGCGGAACCCTGTTCGGCTTAAAGTGTTTGCTGGAGCCACAATTAGTTTTCTCAACCACGTGCTCATGACTGATGTTAGTGACTTCATATAATGAGTAGGTTTCCCATCGGGATAAAGCCAGTGGATAAAAATGGTACAAAAATGTTTTTGGTCATGTAGGTCAAAGGTCAGGTAGACCTTTGAGATCCGGATTAGAATACGTCTTCAGCAACCCATAAGGGCATGCCTGCGGTAAAAGGCGACTATGCTTGTCGTAAGAGGCGACGAACGGGGTTGGATAGTCAGGCTCGCTGACTTAGTTTGATGCATGTCATCGTATTCCAAAACGACAAAATATAACAAGGTAACAATTTGGACATATTTCTGTAAACTATAACTGTTTTACATTGGGGAAATGGGAAAAGCCCCCAAGCAGAAAAAGTCCACACAGATGTGGAAACTGATACCACTAGGATGCACTGTGTCAACAAGTGTCATCGCAATATATGTCTCTAAAGTTGCCTTAGCTTCGTCCCAATTAGACACTGATTGTCCACAAATTAGACTATTGTTTTGATAATGATGACAATTATCCCAGTAATTTCTCCAGATTCCCGATGGTTAATTCTGACTCGATTGTGGATTGACAAGGCGATGCGATGTTTGTTAGGAAACACTGAAAGAAGTACCTACCTGACCTTTGTTTGTTTATTTGTTTGTTGTTTAACGCCGCACTCAGCAATATTTCAGCTATATGACGGCGTTCTGTAAATAATCAAATCTGGACCAGACAATCCAGTGATTGATATCATGAGCATCGATCCACGCAATTGGGATCGATGACATGCATCAACCAAGTCGGCGAGCCTGATTACCCGATCCCGTTAGTCGCCTCTTACAACAAGCATAGTCGACTTTTACGGCAAGCTTGGGTTGCTGAAGACCTATTCTAGTTCTACCCCAGGTCTTCACGGGTCTCATGTGGTCGGTGGTTTGCCAGACTGGATCATGTGTGGATGTCATATTGCTGACTGTGCGGTTAATCAATGTCTGTTTACTCGCTTACAGCCAGATTTGATATAACGATAAGTTCAACCATTGATTTTATTTTGTAAATAGCAAATTAGAATGAACAAGAAGATAATAGGTTTGAATGTCACCATGTTGTCTTTCTCCTACACTGATATTCCTTGTGTAAGAGTGAGTGAGTGAGTGAGTATGGTTTTACGCCGCTTTTAGCAATATTCCAGCAATATCACGGCGGGGGACACCAGAAATGGGCTTCACACATTGTACCCATGTCGGGAATCGAACCCGGGTCTTCAGCGTGACGAGCGAACGCTTTAACCACTAGGCTACCCGACCGCCCCCTTGTGTAAGAAAAGTGACAGTGCCTGACATTTGGTGTCCGTCTGATCGCTAAGAAATGACGAATTGGTTTTGGTTTCTGTCTTGGGGATTGATCATGAAGTCTTTGATCAGTTACATTTTAATTATGATAAACATGGTTCATTGATCAGAAAAAGGTCCCAAATACTGTAAATCTATAAATTAGTGCGACCGTGAATTAATTGCGAAAAAATGCAAGTGGTCTTTGCGTGTATTTGTGTCTCCAAAATGCTTATCAACAACAAGACGGAAATACCCACTTGAATATACACAAACAACTATTCAATCCACATCACAGTTTATTACGCAGCAGTTGTAACAAGTATATAACAATGTGATTCATTGTGGAAATTAGATTATGTGTGTCTGGTGAGTTTTTGCTGCTGGGGTCAAGAGTTCTACTTGCTTGCGTCAAACTAGGCATCATTGAGTACCCCAGCTGTCCAGACCCACGCGACACTGTGTCAAAGGCCCACATGACCCAACGCACACCGATAGGCTTCATCACACTGATCATCAGGGCCCACTTGCACAAAGCGATCTTAGCGCTAAGATGATCGTAACTCCCATACCTTAACATAGGCTTACAATAGTCTTAGCGCTAAGATCACTTTGTGCAAGTGGGCCCAGATCTGCAGTCTCTGTCTTGTCGTTTTCCTTCAAGTTTGTTGACACCTTCTCCACATACCAATCAGTCAACGTGAATTAAATGCGAAAAATGCGAGTGGTCTTTGCTCGTATTAATTTACTTCCCATTTATGTCTCCAAAATGACTATAAAAAATAAAACGACCTGACTGCACAGTTATGATAGCTGAAATACCAACTTGAATATAAACACAAACACGGTTTACTGAGCAGCAGTTGTAACAAGTATATAACAATGTCATTCAAAGTATAGGAATTACACAATGGGCATCCGGTGAGTTATCACTGCTGGGGTCAAGAGTTCTACCCACTTGTGTCAAGCTTGTTGACACCTACTCCACATACCAATCATTGAACTGTTGGTTCAATTATTATATTGCCTTTGAACTTCCTTAGTGCCAGTCAACAGAATAAACATATAAACTGTGTGTTGTCCACTGGGGAAGGGGATGGGGCAAGTTGCACTGATATTGAGTCACATTTTTGGCTTTGGGGTCACCAGTCACATTCATACATCTTCCTGAGGCAAGGGAGTTAACTGACTCTAAAAGTCCAGTTTCCACCCTTGCCGAACTAGGCTGGTATTATGGAGTTACATTTTGGCTAGACTGACGAGTCTATGCATAGTCCAATCAAAATCGCGAACCGATGTCATGCAGATTTCGGTCGATTGCAGGATTGGCAAAGCATGTGCACCGCCAACTTGTTGTCAACAGATATTTTCCTAATCTTTTCAAGTTTTTAATCAAGGTGCTCACATGATTTGATGCACTTCGCGATGTAAGACCCATTTTATCATAATATAGATCTTGATTGTCGATCAGATCGTCTTGTCTTGGCGCCGCCATTTTGTTTGAAACAAATGTAAGTAACACGAGAGGTGGAATCCAATTGGTCCATAGGAGAGGCAACAGCCACTGGTGGCGCTACGATCGAGCCCAGTAATTCCAGCCTAGTTCGGCAAGGGTGGAAAGTGGACTTTTAAAGTCAGTTAACTCACTTGCCTCGGGAAGATGTATTCATAATGATACGCATTAATTTCAAGATTTACAGTATGAGATGGGTATCCAGAGGACCGTGAACATTACCAAATCACAAACACTTTGGGGCGGTCGGGTAGCCTAGTGGTAAAGAGTTCGCTGAAGACCCGGGTTCGAATCCTGACATCGGTGCAATGTATGAAGCGGCGTAAAACCAAACCAAACTCACTCACTCTCTCACAAACACTTTGGGGACTGACTAAAAGGGACATATCCTGCAAATCCCTCATCCCTAATGCCAGTACATTTTGGGGATTGATATGTGATATGTATAAAAACAAAAACTAGATAAACACAATGTCTCTGGGGAGATATGGTCGTGTTGCTGTGTTAAGAAGAATATAAAAAATTAGTTCAGCTATTTGATATTTTTTGTACGGAAAATGAATGATGAAAATTTCTGTCTTTTCTATCACTGCTTACCTTTTCATACCAGTGATCCAACTTGACCTGTAACCAATTCCCTATGCTACAAGCCTAGTGTATATTCATATACCTATCTCCGTCACAAGAAATGTAAAAGGGTATCGAAATGGAACTGAATTCTAGCATGCCAAGGAAAAATTTATGATGTCCATCAATCTAATCATAATTTGTTTGTGTCTCTGTTCCATGTCATTTCTGTATTATCTGGCTCAAATATTCCCCCTTTTCCCCTTCCAGTTCCAAAACATTCCGAAGCATCATCTTTACTGAGAAGATCTTCCAAAATATGGACGTCAGCTTTGCTTGTTAGGCCTTGCTCTTTTGGTGTCAAATTCTGCATCAAATGATTCCAAGGAGCTTGAACTTCATCCATCTGTATCAGAACCAAAGAATATGTTGGTCAGACAATTCTTGTCTTTTCAAGGTACCAGAGCATTACTTCTCTTGTGTCATTTCTTCTACAGAGCCATGGCTGGAAGTGGAACTGGACTGAAGTCCCCGGACCTGGTGAAGCAGGTCGCTACTGCCAATTCCCAGTTTGGTCTGGACCTGTACAAGAAGGTTGCCTCCGACCTGAAGGACTCCAATGTGTTTCTGTCTCCCTTCAGCATCTCGGCAGCTCTGGCCATGACCCAGCTCGGGGCTCGAGGCGACACTGCAGCTCAGATGAACCAGGTCCTGAAGTGGACCGACCTCCAGGACTCCGTACATCCAGGGTTTGAAGACTATCTGGGTCTTCTGAAGACACAGGGAGACTATGTACTTACAACAGCCAACCGCTTGTTTGTCAATGATAAGAGCAAGATTCTTGATGAATTTCTGCAGAAGACAGATAAGCATTATGGTGCTCAGGCTGTCCTGTCTGACTTTGTGGGCAATGGTGCTGGAGAGGCTCAGAAGATTAACCAATGGGTGGAATCGGAGACCAATGGCAAGATCAAGGATCTGATTACCGGAGGAATCGATCCATTGACAGCAATGATACTTATTAATGCCATATACTTCAAGGGCAACTGGGCACAGAAATTTGATCCCACAAAGACCAAGAAGGACACATTTAAGGTGAAACCTGGAGAAACAATCCAGGTTGATATGATGCGGATGAGCAAAAAGTTCAACTTCGGCTATAACGAAGAGCTGAACTGCTCTGTATTGGAACTGCCCTATGTAAAGGAGGAACTTAGCATGTTCTTCTTGTTGCCTTTCAAAGATGATGGTTTGGCAGAACTGGAAGACAAGTTGAATCATGAATCTTTGACACAAGCCTTGAAAAATGTTCATAAAGTGACTGTGGACATATCCATGCCAAGATTTGTGTTGGAATCAAGCTTTGAGCTGAACAACGTCCTGAAGTCTCTAGGAATGTCTGATGCTTTTGACGAGCAAAAGGCTGATCTGTCTGGAATCGATGGAACCCGTCTCCTGTACATCTCTCAGGTGGTCCACAAGGCCTTCCTGGAAGTCAACGAGGAGGGAAGTGAGGCTGCCGCAGCCACGGCTGTTAGGATTATGACAAGATCCCTCCCTATAATCGAGCCATTCAAGGCTGATCATCCCTTCCTGTTCCTCATCCGCGACACTAGAGCTGATGTTGTGCTGTTCATGGGAAGACTTGTTCGTCCTCCCACAACAGGAGCTGGAGGTTCAAAGAAAACTGAACTTTAGAGCTGATGTTGTGCTGTTCATGGGAAGACTTGTTCGTCCTCCCACAACAGGATCAGCTGGAGGTTCAAAGAAAACTGAACTTTAGAGCTGTTGTTATGTTTCTGTATTTTTGGGTCTACTGTACTATGTGTTGTGCCTTCTCTATCATTTAATTGCAATATACTGTAAACAGTTTGTGAAAGTATGAATGAAACTCCTGATGGTTTCCAGTAGGCTAGTGTTCGTGTTTATTCTTTCTCAAAATGAAGACAAGTAGCTTCAGGTTTTATAGTTTTTACTTCAACACTTGATTTATTGATTGTCAACCTGTAATTTCACAAATGTGGAACAATAATAAGAATTCGAGAACAGTTTCCTTTGTTCAGTTTTTGTTTAGAAAAAACACTTTTTCACTTCATTTTTACTTGGGTATGATTGGTAAAAGTGGCCCAACAACCAAAAGGGATTTTCAAAATTTATAAATGTCCTGAATACCTTTAGACATTAGATTTCCTTGAATTTCTTCATGGTGACTGACATTTCAGTCAGTGCCATTTTTTCGTTGGCTTCATGCATCTTCCCGTGTGCGACCATAGAATTTGCCAGGTCGTCGTTGGAGGCTCAACGGAGGTAGAATGGTTGCCTAGGTCGTTCCAAGGTGGTACACAGGAGGTTCAGACATCGTGATGGACGCCATAGTCGCCATGAAGTTTTGAACATGTTCAAAACAGTCGCACAAAGGTCGCCAAGGAGGTTGGTTGCTCAAAGGTGGCTCAAAGGAGGCAGAAGGGAAGCCCAAGCATTGCCGTTGTTGCAGAATGAAGGCACGGTGGTCGCCCAATGATCGCCAGGTAATAGATGCGTTCTGCTGAAATATTGTCTCGTAAATCTGGGCGATGCTTCTGCCTCCCTTGTGCCTCCTTTTGGCGTGCATTGAACGATGAGTATGGCGATCGCAGTGCCTCCATTCGGCGACCACGGCAACCCTTGAGACACCATGGTAATGCTTCTGTCTCTTTTCTGCCTCCTTTGAGCTACCTGTAGTGCCTCTTCAGTCTGCCTATAACTAGAGGGTTTGTACCTACAGTGTTTCATTGTGGTTGCAGACGCTGAACAACTCGAGCAGTTACTGCTGAACAACTGCTGGAGCAGTTACATAGAAACATGATTTTCTGGGTTTAGGCGACCATTGAGTGTCCTGGCCAGTTTTTGATCGCTCAAAGGTGGCACAAAGGTTGCAGCACTGTGTAATGGGGGCTTTAGGGTATTCAAATATATTCTGAAAAATAGAATCCTAATACAATTTTTGGAACAGATCCTTAGGGACGATTTATGCATCAGCATAACATTATATGGTTTCACATGAAATTCCGACATCTCAACTCCAATTGTTTTTGTATGATATCTCTTTCATCTGTTTGGTTGACATTTAATTTGTCATTTGACATATATTTTGTTTGTAAACAGCGATCTGCTGGCGTAAACTTCGGAAAATACAAGGCAGAAGGTGGAACAAAAACACAAACTGCCATGACTACTGTCATCAATAACAAATACAAAATTGACTATTCTAGCATGGGAACCATTTTTTATTACTTTTATTAAATTGCCTTGCTCGAAAGTGCTTTAAAAAAACCCGTAGAATATACTTTTTTTTTCGTTTCTGTGTTGGATCTGTCCTTAAAAATATCACAGGTCGGGCGGGAGAGGTGTTTGTTAAAAATGTAAATGTTCTATTTAATCAAAATTAGTCTTGTTCACTATCTTTTCTCATACAAAAACTATTTAAAAGAAATGATAAATAAAAACTTCAATTGGTGTTGACAGATCTGGATTGGTCAGTCTGGTTTGGACGTTGACAGATGCCACTTTTATCATGTTTATCATAGCCATCAGGACACCTTAGCCTATGTCGTATATCTGATCAGTGCATTTATAGTTATGTAAGGTTTGTATTTGTACATTTGTTGCTGTTGGTGGTGGATAATGAGTACATATTTGTTTTGCTGTCAGACCAGACCAATATGTTTGCCTGTTTTACAGATATGACAATAGGGCTGGGACGGGTAACTCGGGTACCCGGGTCGGGTGGGTACTGAGTAGGACCCGAGTACCACAGCACTACCCGGACCCGTGGTTAGTCATGTGATATATTGTGTAATGACAAAAATTATCTAGAACTCTATGGTTACACTACAAGTCACTAATGTTCGCATTTCTTTCTGACTATGCACCCATTCTTTCTGATTTTTCATTTGGTTGAATAAAGATATAACTTAATTCAACTTCAGTGTATGAATGACCAGATTGTTTAATACATGTATCTAAATACGTTTTGCCAGGGCTATGCTAAAAATGTTCCCAATCAGACATTTTGAGACATCTCCTTAGCCCTGCAGTGGGTACCCGGTAGGGTCGGGTAATAGGGGGTGGGTACCCGGGTAGTAAATTTTGGAGCCCTATATGACAACCATAAATGTTGACAAAGTAACAAAAAATGAAGAAATTCATGTTGAGTTGATCCATTTGTAATATTTTTGTTGTAACTTTTAATTTTTCAAGAGAAATTTGGATTCCCAGGTGACCAAATCACATCACACTTCTCTTGTGCATTGTTTGTTTATTTGTTTGTTTGTTTGTTGTTCAACACCGCACTCAGCAATATTCCAGCTGTATGACGGTGGTCTGTAAAAAATCAAATCTGGACCAGACAATCAAGTGATTGACATCATGAGCAATTGGGATACAATGACATGCATCAACCAAGTCAGCAAACCACACAGTCCTGTTAGTTGCCTCTTACGACAAGCATAGGCGTCTTTTGCGACAAGCTGAAGACCTATTCTCACCTGGATCTTCATGGGTAGCATTGTGTATTAAGTTGTATCAAGTTCACAGATTGGCCTTGGTTGTGTTGTTTGACTTGTCAGATGCATGTGTTTCACCACAGTGGTAATCAAACAAAGTCAAACAGTGTAGCTTGGCTTGGAAAATGTTGTTTAATGTCATATCGCCATGATACGACATGCAGACTTAAATATTGTTAATACAGTCTTTAACGTTTTTTTGCCAAATGGAAAAACAGTCTTGACATGTATGGTGTTGCACATGGCTGAACTCTAAGTGCTCACAAATATTAACAAAATGTGTACAGGTGGCACATATTTACTTGTAATACATAATATATACTGTACTTAAACATATCTTACTTGAATAAATAGCTGTGTTGCCCTTTTTTGTGAGTAATTTTCTTTCTATAACAGGATGGAAAAAGATATGAATATTGATATATTTCTCACCTGCAAATAAGGGTCATCCTTCTGTGGGGGCGGTCGGGGAGCCTAGTGGATAAAGCGTTCGCTCGTCACGCTGAAGACCCGGGTTCGATTCCCGACATGGGTACAATGTGTGAAGCCAATTTCTGGTGTCCCCTGCCTTGAGATTGCTGGAATATTGCTAAAAGCGGCGTAAAACCATACTCACTCACTCACTCATTCTTCCAGAAGAGGTCATGCAGAATGCCTCCTGAGTCTAGTGGATAGAGGGTCCTGCCGGATAGTGTGACGGAGGGTAGTTCAATTCATGGCCACATCATCTCAAAATCAAAAGATGGTAGTTGTTGTTACCCTGCCTGGTGCTCAGCATTATGGGTATAAAACAAAGACCAGTGGGCTCGTAATCAGTATTTTGTGTCTGAGTGGGGTATCCATGGCATGGTATTTCATATTGGCTAGCACTTTAAAATCGGCATAAGTCCTGACTAGTACAAGCAGCCACTCACACGTACATCGCTTTATAAGTGCAATAATCTTGATTGTGACGTTAAACCCAATTTCATCTCCCTTTACCTCATGCTGAATGGTTGCCCCTGAAGATCCGGGGTAGAATAGGTCTTCAGCAACCCATGCTTGCCATAAAAGGCGACTATGCTTGTCGTAAAAGGTGACTAACGGGATCGGACGGTCAGGCTCGCTGACTTGGTTGAGGCATGTCATCGATCCCAATTGAGTGGATTGATGCTCATGATATCAATCACTGGATTGTCTGGTCCAGACTCGATTATTTCACAGACCGCCATCATATAGCTGGAATATTGCTGAGTGCGGCGTAAAACAACAAACCAACCAACCAAACCAAATCATGCTGAATGGATGTTGAGGGAAGTTTAATGAGGAGGACACAAAGGGCCAATATGAAGATGGGTAACATTTGACCTACAGGTGTGAAAGGAAGTGAAGATGCTAGACAGTAATCTGGTGATGGTGGATGTATCTAAACACAGATAGGGGGCATGGGTGGCCCAGTCGTCTAAGGCGCCGCTATTCCCTGTGCAGAGTTGCGTCCCTTGGGGACGCCAGAAACCTATGATTGTGGGTTCGCATCCCGGTTCCCCCCTGATTATGTTTCTAGGTTTTTCAGCACCATACCCGTGCTCGTGGGTTTCACCAAAGTCGTAAACGTCTTAGACCTGCATCACATCGGGCTTTCCTCCAACATTTAGCTGACACGCCGTGATATAACTGGAATAATGTTAAAAGTCACGTTAAACCCAACTCACTCACACTCAACTAAAATGGCTGCGCCCAGTGAAGATGATCTGCTTGATAATCTTGATCTATATTGTAATAAAACGGGCCGAACATTGCGAAGTGCATCTAATCACGTGAGCACCTTGATTAAAACCATGAAAACATTTGGAAAAGTTCTCGGTACACATGCTTTGCAAATACTGCAATCAACCAAAATATGCACAGCAGTTTACGAACCAGATGTCGATTTCGTTACTTGATTTTGATTGGACTATGCCTTGACTCGTTTGTCTAGCCAAAATAATTTCTGCCTCAGCAAGGGTGGAAACTTGCCCCTGAAAGACGACCAAACCATGTTTCTTATACCATACTTGTTTTGTGCTGTCACAATGAACAAAAACTGGAGTACTATTGTGACTGATGTGTGTATGTTTTGTTATTGTTCATCTTCCCAAGGCAAGAGAGTTAACTGGCTGTAAAAGTCCAGTTTCCACCCTTGCCGAACTTGGCTGGGATTATGGAGTTACACTGTGGCTTGACTAATGGGTCTATGCATAGTCCGGTCAAAATCTTGCACCGAAATTGAAATCTGGTTCGTAAACTGTCATGCAGAGTTCGGTCGATTGCCGGATTTGTGCATTGCCAACTCATTGTCAACAGATATTTTCCAAAACTTTTCATAGTTTTAATCAAGCTGCTCAAGCTTTGATGTACTTCGTAAAGTAAGAACCGGTTTATCACAAAATAGATCTTGATGGTCAATCAGATCATCTTGACTGGGCGCCACCATTTTGTTTGAAACAAATGCAAGTGATACAAGAGGTGGAATCTGATTTGTACATATGGGAGAGGCATAGAATGGACATAACTCATAATAGCCACTGGTGGCGCTACGATTGAGCCCAGGAATTCTAGCCTAGTTAGGCAAGGGTGGAAACTGGACTTGTAAAGTCAGTTACCGCTCTTGCTTCGTGAAGATGGGTATTGTTTGGTACTCCAACTATTACTGATAGTGTTAACATGCCATATATGGTTTTCAGCATTGTTTAAGTCGCAACTCCTAGCTCACACAATATATATTTCTATTCATATATATATTATTTTTAATGCCACACTCACGATATTGTACTATAGCTAAGTAGCTGGCATGATTAGTCGTAATATTTATATTACAAATGTGCTGATAATAAAATAATATATACCGGTACTTCTGGCTCCTAGTCTTCTAAAATATTGATATATATTTAATGACCCTTTTACGGTCACAATGAGTAAGATTTACATGTTGACACTCGAGCCAAGGAGTGACACAGTTCTCAAAACTCCTTTTTCTTCCCTACTGTTTGGTTCAAATACTCATTATTACCTCAACCAGCATGCAAATGAATAACCGTATTCGACGTAATAAGCGCCTAGGGTGCTCTCTAAATTAGAAATAGGGGGCTCTTATTAGAAAAGTATTTTGGTGAAAAAAAACAAATAAATAAGTCTTGTGTACATTGATCAATAGAAAGGGATGCTAATTGGGATTATTCACTCGCCAATATATCAGCAAATATTGCCGTGGGCGCCTATTAGATAGGGACGCTTATTACGTCAAATATGGTAATTATTTTGAAGAAACTTATCACTGAGAAGATGATATGGACTTTAAATGATCAATACAGTGCTCCCTTGTTATTGCACCCTTCAATATAGCGCTAACTCGGTTATAGTGCACGGTAAAGATGGCTCCCAAAATTTACTAACATTTTTCACCAAAATCAAGTTTTCAATGACACAATGTTTCCCCCCATCTACGAAAACATTATCAGCTGATCACTGGGTTCACGTAACACCGGAAATACCAGTCAACAAATCCGAAATGAAGAACGCATTTTAACCTTATTATCATAATATCTGGTAATAAAAAAATTGTTCATTGTTTATCTAGACTCATGTTTGCAATATATATTTTTAGTTATGTTGAAAATTTCATTCAATAATTATGATAATGTTTACAAAAATTTCTTCGAAATCATTAGTGAAGTCATTGGTAGGTCGCACAACTCACCGTTATTTACAGCAACCACGATCAAATTGCTGTGAGGTGCCCGAACCTTACTGAAGTGACATTTCTTCTACAGAGCCATGGCTGGAAGTGGAACTGGACTAAAGACCCCGGACCTGGTGAAGCAGGTCGCTACTGCCAATTCCCAGTTTGGTCTGGACCTGTACAAGAAGGTTGCCTCCGACCTGAAGGACTCCAATGTGTTTCTGTCTCCCTTCAGCATCTCGGCAGCTCTGGCCATGACCCAGCTCGGGGCTCGAGGCGACACTGCAGCTCAGATGAACCAGGTCCTGAAGTGGACCGACCTCCAGGACTCCGTACATCCAGGGTTTGAAGACTATCTGGGTCTTCTGAAGACACAGGGAGACTATGTACTTACAACGGCCAACAGACTGTTTGTCAATGATAAGAGCAAGATTCTTGATGAATTTCTGCAGAAGACAGATAAGCATTATGGTGCTCAGGCTGTTCTGTCTGACTTTGTGGGCAATGGTGCAGGAGAGGCTCAGAAGATTAACCAATGGGTGGAATCGGAGACCAATGGCAAGATCAAGGATCTGATTACCGGAGGAATCAATCCATTGACAGCAGTGATT